TCTTGGATGGTCTTGGAACCTGGTATTGGCTATACACTGGTCATTGTCCGTGCATCACTGGCCCCATTTTTCTCCGCGCTTGTTGTGAGTTCCTAGTCAGAATTTGCTAGTTATCTCCCCTTTTCTTTCCTTCCTTTATTTAACATTCAGGTCTCCCATGATAATTATAACTTCTTGAGATTTGCACTGAGCCTTAGTGTTGTCTAGCATACTGCGCTTATATTCTTGCACAAGGGGAAAAATCCATCAAATAAAAAAAGAGTAATACGAAGAGACCGAGATAGATAGATAGATAGATAGATGACAAATAAAGAACGAATACTATATAATAATTGTATATGTTTACAAGTAAGGCACCATATCAATTGTTTCATATGGCAATAACGTTATAGTTATGTGCAGCCTCAGGCGTGTCCAGTCCAAATAAACACTACCCAGTCGCTCCTGGCAACTGAGATGATCAGCGGACTTTGAATGAGCAGGTGGTCAGTGTACTGTGAATAGATTGAAATAAATATGTCACAACGTCCTAGAATCAGGCAGAATGTGCGATCTAAACTCAATGAAGAGTCCTATCCAAAGGTACCTAGAGTAGAAGAGATCATTTTAAGTCCAAATGCTGAAATCCCGTCAGGCAGCATTTGATTATAGTTTTTAATTCTTATACGGGATACTATTATTATCCATTATTTGAACGAGTATCTTCATCTTTGCTTTTTTTTTTTTTTTTTTTTTTTACTGATCACTATATTTCATTTGAAAGGATGTGGGATGTGAGGCAAATGAACATCTACTTCTGTTCAAAAGACCGGGGAGGGATACGAATTGGGCGATAGACAAACCTATCTACTCCTCCAAATTACAGTTTCTTTCTATCTATCTATCTATCTATCTATCTATCTATCTATCTATTAGGACGTCATCGGACTAAAGTGATGTTTACATTGATGTAACTACACAGGCATCCGAAGGAGAGGCAACGATGACATTTTAAACTTTTAAATTTATTTATATTTTTAATGTGTTTGGATATACTCGTATAGACTAGCCAACTTCATTTAATCTCTTTTTCTTTTTCTTTAAGCTTTTATCACTTTTGTTGTCAAGTATCCCACATTGTGATACTAGATCGGCCAAGAAAGGTGAACTGATGTGAGGATATGGTCGCAAACTTACTGTGGATGATCTAGCAATTAAAGCACTTTCTATACACTTTACTAAGACGTAAGTAAATTTGGCAAAGTAATTGAAAATAAAACCACGGATTAACCTAATGTTAGCGAAATTGAAGTATAAAACAGGTAGGATTGCTGGTCTTAAACAGACACAAATTTGCCTGAGCAAGCGTCTGTAACAGGGATTGGCTAGGCGCCCTATCAAACCAGTGCCATTTTGTCAGAATTAAGTTATCGAACTGCGTTCAAATCAAATTTGGGCTGAGGATCTTTCTGTTATCTTTTGTTATAAGTATAAACCATATTTTTGTTGAATCGTTATGCATTTATCTAACTAAAACTTCACAAAGTTATATCAAATGTAATAAGTGGACTTTATACTTTTTAAGGTTATGGTGTGGTATGTCTGTGACAAGACAGTATAAATAATAATCTTCTTCTCCCTCGAGCTATTGGTAAGTAGCAGGACAGACTGAATCGGATGGCAACTGGTCTAGGAGAAGGACAACTCTGAATTCAAAACCTGCGGGCGGTAGTTTGGGGACCTAGAAGCACGTAGTGCCCCAGATCTCTATATTCGGCCCTTCAAAAAGTGTGGATGGTTCTGCACAAAACCGTCACAACGATAATCAAATCTCATGTGCTGTTGTCGGGATGACGGTTTCCTAGGAACTGATCTGTATGACCCTCATACGTCGAATTCGACGGAAGAGTCGAGAGTACTATATATAAAGCAGAAAGTTCAGTTAATAAATTTGATATAGCTTTGTGAATGTTCTTATTATCTAGCTAGATAAATATATATATAAATAGACACGAACAGACATAGATAGATAGATAGATTTCTTCTCTCTATCGCTCTCTTTCTCTTTCATACACTATTTTTATTATCAGCTTCTTTCTTGAACTCTATCAATCCTAACTCTTTCTTTCTTTCTGTATATATATATATATATATATATATATATATATATATATATATATATATATATATAGCATAATGAGAAGCCACGTATACTTTCTTAATATGTATATATAGAAAAAGTTGCAAATTAAAAATAATAATTGGTTTTTTATGAAAGTATTTATTTATTTATATATATATTTGATATTTCAGATTGACCTCAATCTTTCTTCAGAAATAACTGTTTGTTTACAAGTAGCGTCCGTCGCGAGATGCGGACGTCACGTGATATGGAACGAATATGTGTTCGAATATTCCTAACGTAAATGAAATCTAACTGTAATAATGTTTTAGATGTTGTTTAAAAAAATAAATAAAAAATAAATTTTTTTTAACTATATCTAAAAATTTTTTAACTATTTATAAGGATTTAAAATATCCAAGTCTTTATTTAACCCCAGTTTATATGTATTTAATTTTAACATCCAGTATTTTTCTTTTTTTTCTGCGTGTGTATGTGGAACTGAAATCAGAATCTATCAATAAACATTTGCAGTTTTCTAATGAGTGTCCTGATCGATTAAAGTGTTCAGCTATGGGGGAATAAGGATTGTTTTGACGTATGGTTTGTTTATGATTGTTGAAGCGAAATCTAAAATTATTTCCAGATTCACCAATATATCCACTATTAGGACATATGGTGCAAAATAAATAGTAGATTATGTTATGGCTATCACAGGTGAGGTGAGGTGGGTGTATCTTGATATTGGTGTTGGGTACAGAAAATACATTATCTATTATTAAGTGTTTGCAAACTAAGCAACGAGGTTTGTTACATTTGTAATTTCCTGATTGGTTTCTATTGTTTAGATATTTGGTAGAGGTAAGGATAGATGATAGGTTAGGTGATTGTTTCTTTTAATTTATGGGTGTTTTATCGAAAATGTCTTTGATCTTTTTGTCTAACTGGAGGTTCTTGTAATCCTTTTTTAAATTGTGAATAAGTGTGTGGGAATATTGATTGTGGTTAAAAACCATGGGAATCCGATTGTTGTTTTTACTTTTCTTGTATGTGAGAAGTGTGTTACGATTTATCAGGATAGTTTTATTTAGTGTTTCTTTTATTATTTTTATTGGGTATTTACATTTTAGGAATTGTTTTGTAAAGTTATTAATGTTGTATAGAAAATCTAGATGGTCTGAGCATATGCGTTTGATTCTTAGAAATGATCTGTATACAATAGATTTTTTTTAATTTAAGGGGATGACAGCTGTTAAAGTGCAGGAATTTATGTTGGTTTGTGGGTTTGTTGTATAGACTGGTAGAAAGTGTATGTTTGTTTAATTTTATCATAACGTCTAAGAAAGGGATGGATGTGTATGAGTGCTCCATGGTAAATTTAATTGTATCGTGGAAGTTGTTGCAGAAAGTGAAAAAGTTTTTTAATTTTTCTGATCCATGAGTCCATAGTAAGAAAATGTCATGAATATATCTGAAATAACGTAATGGTTTAAATTCTGAATTGTCTAGTATCTTCCTTTCTAGAATGTGCATAAAGATATTAGCATAACTAACTGCCATTTTCGTGCCCATTGCTGCGCCACTAATCTGTAAATAGTGTTTGTTGTTGAATTTAAAATTATTATGTGTTAAGATGAAATTTATTAATTGGTAGTTAGGTAATTTATTAATTGGTAGTTAGGTAATTTTTTGTTACTAAGGAACTCATAGCAAGCTGATACTCCTTCAAAATGTGGAATGTTCGTGTAAAGGGACGAAACATCCATCGTTACTAGGATTGTATCATGGTGGACTAAGTTAATGTTTTGTAATTTGTTGAGAAAGTCAGTAGTGTCTCTAATATAACTAGGTATTTCGGGCAATAAAGGTTTTGGGATATTGTCTATGTACCCAGATATAAGTTCTGTGAGGGTACCAATGCCTGATATTATGGGTCTACCAGGTGGCATGATTTTAAGGGATTTTGAAATTTCATAGATGTTCTCTTCATTATTTGATTGTATAATTTGATGTGGGTTGGATGAAAAGGTGTTAGGGTGTTTTTCTGAAAGGATTTTGGGGAGTTTATGTAGTTTTGGGATAGTGTAGAATGTTGCTGTTTTAGGGTTCTCAGGAATAAGAGATTTTATGGTATTTTTATGTTGTAGTTCATGTTCTGAGTGAGAAGTGATAATTCTGTTTTGAATGTGCTAGTTGGGTCTAGAGGTAAGGGTACATAGAATCTGTTATTTTGAAGTTGTGATTCTGCTTCTTTAATGTAGTTATTAATGTCTAAGATGGTTATAGCTTCGCCCTTGTCGGCTGGTATGATAATTATATCTCGGTTGTTTTTAAGAGTATAGATGGCTTGGTATTCTATTTTGGATAAGTTGTATTTTTTTATCTGGTGTCTTTTGTTTTTTAAGAAGTTAGCCAGACAACACATGGATAACTTCTTAAAACACAAAAGGAAAGGTAGTGGAGTGTTTTTCCGTTGCCTTCTCCGCCGTTTTGGAATTCAAAGTAGTTCTATTCCTAAACTATTCGCCACCAGTCTAGTCTACCCTGATATTTATCCTATAATTGGTGGAAGATATGGATTCTTGGCTTTCCCAAGGGTATTAGTACGAAAGTAAATGCAGCGGACAAGACCTGAACTTGAAGTCAGTTCACCGATTCTATTTTACGTCTTGAACATCGTTACGCTTTGTTTATAACATAACAGAAATGTCATCCCTGGCTTAAGAATTATTCGTTATCTGACAAAGAAAATGTATTTCAATAATATTCTGATAGTTTTTCATTCATTTTTTTTCAATGTTTATTGAGAGCAATTATATTAGCTATTATCATCCGATTAATCGATGAAATCTGAGATGAATTTACCAGTTTTTTTTTCAAATTCTAAAATGAATTGGATTACGGCCACATCACGTTCAAACACCGCTTCCTGTACGATCACCGAAGTTAAGCAATGTCGAGCCTGGTCAGCACATAGGCGAGTGATCGATTGAGAATACCAGGTGGTGTAAGCTTGGATGTGCGGGTGGTGTAATTGATAATGGCATGGAATTGTTAATCGGAGAGCCAAGTTCAAATTTCGGTGGCGTTCGTTTTATTCACTCACGCGCAAATACCTTTCGGAAAAGTGTGAATCCACCTCTTCTCTACCCCCAGCTATGGGTTAATTAATAAGACTTGCCTCACTAAACCAGTATTACCTAAAAAAATTCTTACAATTTGTCATGGCTTTAAATAACCGGAAATGGTTTGATAAACCATAAAAACGAACCAACCAAACTAAGAAGAATCGTCTTCGTCACTCCACAAGTTTTTATAACATCCTCATACTTGTTGTTTTGTTACATCCTTTCCGTTGATGCAATGCTATGATTTTTTTAATCATTTTAGAAAAGGGATCATCGACAGCTAAAATAACATCAGCCTCCAAATAATTACAGAGACCTTAGAACAACCATTAACACAGTTATAAAAGAAGAATGGCAGAAAGTATTGACCGGTTGCCCAAACAACAAATTATACAACTCCAAGGCTACCATGGAGGAATTGCATCAAAAATTAAAAACAAAGAAAGATGAAGTAATAATGTCAAGACTTCATTTCGAACGCTCCATGATAACACACTCCTATATTCTAAAATAAGAACCATCTCCAATATGTACGGCATGCGAAAAATATCCACAATAAAACAAATTATATTGACTTCACCCAAATCCGTTTAAAATACTACCAAACAACCAACATGAATTCTTTCATGGAATTAATCCATAGAATACAATTTCTTAAGGAAATCAAACTGTATTCCAAAATATAACTTCAACAAAGCTACAACAAAAAATACACATATCATCGCTACTAGTAATCATGTCCACACAAACATATATATGCACAAAAGCTGAGTATCATCTACCATGTATTCAGTTGTGAAAGCAGAATAACATATTTTTATTATGTGCAAGCTTCCTAGAAAATTAAATTTTCACATTAAATGACCCATAAGGAGTTGATATGCTATTAAACAAACAAATAAACATTTCATTTTATTTTTATCCTTTTTTTTATTTGTAAGTTTTATTTGCTCAGATCTTTTGTTAGTTTGGACTGAATTTCTTCTTTATAATGGAAAAGATAAAAGTTTGATTGAAAATATCTTGAAAAAAATGTATACTTCTTTCTTGAGTAGATTATTATTTTAATATTTCGGGCTTTTGGCCACATCAAATTGAAACAGCAGTTCCTATATAATCACCAAAGTTAAGCAACATTGAGCCTGGTCAGTACCTAGATGGGTGACCATTTGAGAATACCGGCTGCTGTAAAGTTGGATATGCAGGTAGTGTAATGGATAATGGCTCAGAATTGGAAATCGGAGAGCAGAGTTCCAATTTCCTTTGGGTTCATTATATGTTCAAAATATGTAGATTTTGGCATTAATTAAGCCATAGAGGTTGATATACTGCTTGAAAATACTTTGAAAAACAAACGACCAATATGAAAGACCTCTTTCATGGCATTAATCCAAATAATATCCTACAATTTCTTAAGGAAATCAAACTGTATTCCAAAATATAACTTCAATAAAACTACAACATAAAACACACATATCACCGCTACTAGTAATCATATCCACACAAACATATATATATATACACAAAAGCTGAGTATCATCTACCATGTATTCAATTGTGAAAGCAGAATAACATATATCATATTTTTAATATTTCAAAACTCCCGAGAAAATTAAATTTCGGCATTAAATCACCCATGAGGAGTTTATATACCGTTAAACAAACAAATCAATCAAATCAATCTGTTCATAATTTAAATACAGTGGCAAATCCTGAATTCTTAAAAAGTTGCTGGACATTGATTTTATCTACAAATTTCAAATTTGAAACTGTGTTTACGTCATGAATAACTGCGTATTATTGATAATGTATTTTCCCCAAATACGTACTAGTATGCAGTTATCAATGACGTAAGTAGTTGATATTTGTAAATAAAAACAAAGTACAGATAACTCTTTAAGAATTCAGCGATCGATTTGACCCTATTTACCTACCTACCTTCTAAAAGGATTTTAAAAAATTAATATTCTTCGATTCTGACAAATAGCTTAAATAGGGTCTAAAGAATGCTAATCTACAAAAATTATCCCCAACCTAACAACAAAAAAAGCCTATTTTTTACGAACAGAACAGTTAACTTAAATAAACCTGAAATAATCCTCAGATTTAATTCGTTAGATTGATATTGTTATCAGCGAAGTTATATTGACTCCATATTTGGTATAATACGTAGTTATAAATATCTGACAGTTTATTTGCAAGGGCATTGACACTGTTTCAGCTACTTTGGATACTACTAAATGAATGTCAGTTTATCTTATCACTAAGATATGTGCCTCACTACAGATATGAATCAACAAAGATTAACTGGAGTGGTTGATTTTACAAACTACGAAATACTTTTTAAAAAATGTACAAAGAAGTATTCTTTTTTAATTAATTTATTTAGGCATCTACCTTACTTCTACAGACTTTGTCGTTAGCCATCATTATTAGTTTAATGTTGTCAAAGTTTTTGACAACATTAAACTGGATTAACGCTAATCACGACGCGAAAATGGCTCCTATCAACCTATTTACATAAACCTTGCTTCACGGGTTGCTGGAAAAAATGACCTTCGTTTTTTATCAAAATTGGTTTTAAACAAGGTGACATGTTACTAGATATTATCGGCTGTAATATTCAAAACTTAATTTCTTTTGTGGGGTTAAATAATATCAGATTATTATATACCGATGATATAGCCCTGAAAAGCCACAATCTAAATGTTTCAAATATTTTTAGACTTTTATATGGATGCCACCAACCTCGTTCAAAAACATCTAAACTGTCAGCTGTATACAATCGCCTTCTTATATCAACGGTTAAAAATATCTTTCAGCAAGTGAAGCCTGGTAAAGACCATTCTTGAACATTATGGACTGATGCTATAGAATTAGAAACAAAGAACTACCAAATAACATCATTTGAGGACTACCAACTACCAAATTATTAGGTTGGTGCAAAAATAATGACGGGAATAATGTCGTTTTTTGACGTATTTTTTAACGTCAAAAAACGACATTCTTACGTCATTATTTTTGCACCAACCTAATAGATCTGTCTATATTTCTGAGTTGAGGTATTATCTACACTATATTATGTACATTATTTACCCTATTCGGACTATTGTCCTCATCTTTGTCGCCATTATTACAACGTTTCGGCCTTCTTCAGGTGTTTGGAACCCTTTATTTAGCTCACTGGGGTAGACTGTTCTAGTTGCACGTGTCTAATGGATGTGAATTATACCCTCCACCGCCTTAACCAGGTATTGAACTCACACTTTTTGGGTCCTGTCACTGGACCTAACTAACGCCTTTATCCACTGTGACATGCGTCCTTGAGAACATCTGCGTATGAATTTCTGGGTATTATAAGCCTAATGTCTTCAGCAACCATTTTTTACCAGTTCTCATATTGCAATTTTTTGCTGTTATCATTGCATGTTTACCAAGTTCTGGTCCACGTGTATTAAATTACAGGAGTGGGGAAAGAACAGAAAATGAATCCTTTGACTGTTTTGATGTCCAAACTAGTTAACGCGTAGAATTTAAATTATCTTTACATCATTGATGCTCCGTATTTATAGCGAAAGGCAAATACCATTTCTTGACAAGGGCAGTAACCTTGGATTACGCAAGAGTAAGGACGAAAATGAATAGTACATATAACTCGAAAAGAAAATAATGACATAAACAAGATGTTGAGATTCCACACTACTTCAAACAAAAGGTTAGGAAGGAGACCCCTATCAATATACTGGAAAGAGCAATAACGTCTACTGGACTTGAAAAACTTATTTTCTTGAGAAATTATTTCAAGAGAAGGATTTTATAAACTTCAAATGAAAGCAATACTGGCTGCTTGGTCAATGAATGCCAAATGTTTCCTTATAGGGAAACGGATAATACTACCATAACCATTTCCCATACTCTCGCTATTCTATCGTTATTTTAATATCAGATGTTCGGGCGAACTACATTCCTTGGATTCCTCAAGTTGACTCATCCTCGTTCCCTTCATATTTCACTGGACACTTCGACTCAGACAGCTTACTCTTTAGAACTGTTACCATGTGCAACGGACTCCCGAGGTGATGCTTCTTAGATCACTACATTATTAACCTTTTCAGATTGAGTATCAACCGTTATCTATTCTACATCATACTTATTATAAAACCCAGGTTGTGTGTGTGTGTGTGTGTGTGTGTGTGTGTGTGTGTCTGTTCATTTATATATTGGATCAGATTTCCTACATTTTTCAACCGATTTCAACAAAATTTCACAGGACTACGTAAAATTACCTTGCGGTGGTTCTGACAGCGCCAAAAATTGGAAAGACACAATTGTTTTGTACGAAGTCAATTTGAAAACACGATTAAGAGGCATTAATGAAAGGGGGACAACTCATATCGAGTTATACTAATTATAAAACCCAGGTTTTTTGTTTGTGTGTGTGTGTGCTCGTTTATATATGGGATCGGATTTCCTACATTTTTCAACCGATTTCAACAAAACTTCACTTTTTTTGGCAGGTAGTTTTTCTTATTGTCTGCACACTTTTTTCTTTATTTTTACATTCAGAATGCTTTAAAAATTCCATTTACAAGACAATTGTTTATAATAAAATTCTATTCAATCGGTAGACTCATAACGACTGAAAACAATGTTCTTGTTTGAGTTTGGGTTTGACCAATTCGTAAAAAAAAAAAAAAATAAATAAAATAATTAAGACATGCGTGTCCGTCAACCTTAAACAATAATCTTTGTCAATTTTATTTTTCAGTCTTTATGATGGTCGATACTTGATCTATCTCTTACTGTTACATCCCCGGGCAACGCCGGGCTCTACTGCTAGTATGCTTATAATATGCAACACTTCCCCGCGCTTTTACAATACTTACGTTTAGTAATACTCTACCCTGAGTGGCTCTTGGGCCTTACATTGGGTGATAGTAAAGAGTAAGCCTTTAATTAAACCTCATGAACACTCTTTCAATGACAATAGACAAAGCACAATTACAACTTAATCAAGTGACTAATTTTGTATATTTTGGTCACAAGCTATCTTTTAAAAATGATTAAGTAAAAGACTGAATAAGCCTTAGATGGTCTGCTTTTGGAAAACAACTAAAATCAACAAGAGTACCAATTCATTCTAAATAAACATACCTTATAAACATTCTTCCAGTTCTTTTATATGATTTCGTTTGTTGGCATATACTCAAAAACTTTCTGCTCAAATGGAAACATTCTAGAGTCATATGATGTGCATTATCACACATCGCAAACTTATAGACAAAGTGAAAATAACCACGCCTAGAAATGTAGTCAATTTACCTTTACTCTTTGATGCCATCTTTAGCAAATTCTTAAAACCATTTGGACAAATAGGTGCGTGGCTCGTTAAATTATGTCTTGAGGGCATGGTACCAGGAAATGAAGTTGGGGAAAGTCAAAAGAACGATGGAGAGTTAACGTAATTCTTTAGTCCCTAACTAACGAGCAGTAGACTCTCAATAAGTTTGCTCGAGATCATAATAAATGGCGGGAATGAAGTCAGGTTAGTTCGTAATTTGCTGTAGGCGGAAAAAGCGACTAACGATGATGTTTATCACTCGATAAATATTTTATTATTAATTCATACGAGTTAACTAATTAGTAATTGATTTACTATTAACTCGATTCTTTATAGAATTTATTGATTAAAAAAAATAATTTCGGTGAAAGATTCAAAAGAGATCTGCATTTGTTTGCCGAGAAGCAGGAATAATGAAATTGACTGAAACACGGCAGAAGATTATGGAACAAAAAATGTAAATACGACTGCTTGGTCTCACACTGTCCGCTGACCTGAGATAGAATAATTACATTGAAACAATATCTTAATCTACCACAAGGAAAGTTGGTTCCCTGTGTCGTACCAAAAAGTGTTTTCTCGCCTGAGTCCATCCTTCAAATCTACAGATCAACCCTTCGCCCTTGCATGGAATACTGCTACCATATATAGTCTAGTGCCCCCGCTGTTCGCCTTAAGGTCCTCGACAAGATCCACAGAGGTATAAGCAATGTGGTTGATCCTGCTCTGGCATTTCGTCTTCAGTCGCTCTCTCACGGTAACTGCTCCGACGAGCTACTATCGTTAGTTGCCAGACTGCATGAATTTAAGCGTGCTACTAGGCTGGCATCACGGTTCTACCTTCTCACT